GAAATTGAGTTTAACACCCCTGCCTTAGAAAGAATGCAGAGAGCAACAAAGATGATTGGCGATCCGGTGGCTAAATCATACGATGAACGTTTGCAAGAAATACCGTATTTTTCAGAGTATAAGACGCACCGGAGTATAAGGCGCACCAAGATTTTGAAGAGGCAATTTGTTTTTTTTTTTTAAAAAAGCATAGCTGGCTGGAGAATTCTGGGAGTTGAAGTCCACAAATCTTAAAGTTGCCAAGTTTGAAGACCTCTGGTCTAGAGCAGTGGTGGCTAACTTTTTTGTCCTCACATGCCGAAATCGTGTGTCCGTGCATGACAGTGTGCATTTAACCACACCCACAATGCAATGCACCTTGACCCCCTGTGCATGTGGCATTGACTCCCCGTGCTCCCCTTGCACCTGCGTGTGACCCCCTGCAGCCCCGTGTGCATGCGTGCAACCCAACATGAGCTCACTGCATGGGAGCAACCCCCGGTGAACCCCCAAGCATGAGCACGAACCCCCCCCCATGATGCCTCCTGAAACCAAAAATGGGCTGCAGAGGGGAGACACCCTCCATGCTCATGTGAAACCCCCCACCCCCACACATGTGCATATGTCTCCCACATGCACACAGCACAGACCCGAATCAGCTGGCCAGTGGGAGGCATGGGCATATCCACAGTGGAGGTGAGTGTGCCCGCAGAGAGGCCTCGACATGCCAACTGTGGCATGCGTGCCATAGGTTCACCATCAAGGGTCTAGAATATTGTAGGAGAGCTGGTTTCAATGTGGCCAATGAATTTATTCTTTGAGAATTTTTCTTCTTTTATTATTAATGCGATCTCCAGCTGCATCATGTCTGCTATCATCTTCCTTTTCCTAATGGTGCCAGGAATAATCTGCTTCTTAATCAAGGCCCGTGAGCGAAAATGACAATCAAATAATTGGAAATCTGTAAAAAGGGGGGCGGGAGACCAAGTGTATTCATTGTTAGTGATCTGAAGGGATCCGTCGGTGGTTAATGATCTGAACAGATTTGGAGAGAACCCAGTGCCCTACAAATTTGGTTGGAGTCCAACCGACGGCATCACCAATATGAAGATGGGACACATCTCACTAGAGGTGATGAAGGTTAGGGAGATTGCAATTTAACCCACCTGGGAACAGTAGGAGCAAGTAGGGCATAAAGATAATGGCAGAAGCAATTAACAAAATGTCGAACTGGGGGGGGGGAATTGAAGAGTGCCAAGCTTAGTAAGTCAATGGAAAAGGTTCCCCTCGCACATATGTGCTAGTCATTCCCGACTCTAGGGGGTGGTGTGCTCATCTCCGTTTCAAAGCCGAAGAGCCAGCGCCGTCCGAAGATGTCTCCGTGGTCATGTGGCCGGCATGATTAAACACCAAAGAGGCACGGAACACTGTCCCCTTCCTACCAAAAGTGGTCCCTATTTTTCTACTTGCATTTTTTTTACTTGCTTTTGAACTGCTAGGTTGGCCAAAGCTGGGACAAGTCACGGGAGCTCACTCCGTTATGCTAGGGATTCAAACCGCCGAACTGCCAACCTTTCTGATCGACAAGCTCAGTGTCTTAGCCACTGAGCCCTTTCTTTCGTCTGCTCTTTTCCATTTCCATATTTATTCCCCATTAATCATAGCTAGTGGGAACCTTCAAAGTAGATCTTCAGACAGAGGCTATATAATCATATGTCAGTGTTGCTTTAGAAGAATCATCTGCAAATTGCTGGTTAAGATGACCTCTGATATACCTTCCATCTCTGGAATTGCTGATTGTCGGATAATCATGTTTCCAGATCTGCCACTATAGACATTCAGAAGCAGAAGTATTCATTAAAAGTGACTGAATAAAGAGGAATTAAATACTTGTTCTTCTCTCCCAGAAACAAACAACTCACAAAAATGAGGCTTGCAGAGGGTTTGGGAGGTCTGCAGAGTGCAAACACTTTTTTNGGGATAACCAGATCTTGATTTGCACAACTGTCTAAGCCCAAAATTTCAAGCCTGATGGCATGTTGCAAGTAGAGTAGTGGAAGACTCTTCTCGTGAAATATCTCTGGACTTGCTCAATTGTATTGGACTACATATGTATTGGACTACGGGTACGTTTCCCAAAGTCTTTATCATCATATCCAAAGTTACTCATGTAAATGCTGTTTCAGAGTGGCAGTTCTTGGGAATATCAAATAACCAAATAAAAAGTGGTTTTAACTGTACTTATTTGCATGATACATTGAGCTATAAACTAGCTAAACAGGTTTCAGCCTAGCATAAGATGCAATTTCAGCCAATGCAATTTATGATTCATGATTGGTTTATGGTGATCAGTCAATCAACTGGGTCATTCAAATACAGAAAATGAGATTGAGTAAATAATGGTTACATGAACTGTAATTACACTATGTGAACTCACCAATTGTATTCTGTGAACTCAGCTAATGTGATTTCTAAAGTATGGCTTATATTGAATGTATTCCATAAACTCAATTGTGTTTATTCAATAATTTTGGGGGACACAACTGTGGCCATTCAAATGTCTAAATTTGAAGTCTTTAATCCCAGTTGCTGGTACGGTGGCACTCCAAGCAAGAAGAACACAGCTGCCTCCCTAGCTAGGATCAGCAGAAGTTGGTACATTGCTTAGATGAAGGACATTCCTTCAAAGACATTCTTTGAAATAGTTCCAGGACAGGGTGTAGTAAATAACTTCTACATTTTTATTTAGAAGCCTGTGTAAATTCTGCTCAATTGTAGACATACCAGAGCTGTGCAAAACATTTGAATGAGAATCTTCTCCATGAGCAAGAGTGAAGCCCCCTCTTCAAAGCACTGGGACAACTATCTCCTTCATAAACCCAAGCATGGCTATTTTGAGAACCTTCTAGTTCTAGGACAATGTTGGAAGAAATATCCATCTGGTTCAGTTCCAAGTGGGGAGAAAGGCACCGAAAACATGGACTCAGATTGGAAAGATGGTTTAACAACAAACACGTGCGATTCTGGGTAGCTGACNAGAGAGAGAGAGAGAGAGAGAGAGAGAGAGAGAGAGAGAGAAGGAAACCACATGGCCGGCAAGCCACTCCCACAAAGGAAGCCACACCCACAGAGTAGGTTCGAAAAAGTTTTGAAACCCACCACTGAATAAGACCTACCCCAAAATAAAACCTAGCATGTTTTGTACACATGCGTCTAATATAAGTCCTACCTCCCCCAAATAAGCCCTACTTAAGAGCCTGCACAGCTGGTCGCACGCTCATTCCATCTGGTTGCTCACGGTGCTGGGGCCACGAGGCAAGGCAGGGGAAAGTGGAACTGCCCCAGGTGCCCCGTACTGGCTTATCTCAGGGGCTCTGCAGCCGGACCACCCACTTCCTGACACCTGCCTCATAGTGGCAGCACCAGCAACCATGTGCAGCAGGAGCCCCCGTGGCCACCAGCGCACTTCTTCCGCTTGCTCGCAGCCACAACGGAGCAAGAGGCTGAGTGGTGTGTTGGTGCTGCAGCCGCGAGGCAAGGCAGGTGTCAGGGCAAGGGTGGTCTCGCTGTGGGGGCGCTGAGGTAAGCCAGTGCAGGGTGCGTGGGGCAGCTCCACACACACACCCATCTCGCTTCATGGCCATGTGGGGGTCCTGCTGGATGGGGCTGTTGGAGCCACAAGTCAAATGTTAAGGCATGAGTGGCCTAGCTGAGGGGGCCCTGAGGTAAGTCGGTGCGGGGTGCATGGGGCGCAGCCTCCTGCCCCACCTCAAGCAAGTAGAAGTGGGCCTCCTGTACATGGGTGGGAGATACCCCCAAAATAAGCCCTAGTGCATATTTTGGGGCCCAAAAGAAAATAAGACCCAATCTTATTTTGGGGGAAACACAGAGTACTGTATTTTTCAGAGTATAAGACACACCTTTTTCCCTCAAAAAATGGAAAAACTGGGTGCGTCTTATACACTGAATACGGTATTTTTTGCCTGCCGAAACACCGCCTCCTTCACCAAAATGCCCATGCAGAGCCTTACGGAGGCTTTCAGAGAGCTCCTAGGGGCTGGGGAAGGCAGAAATGAGTGAAAAATGAGTTGTTTCTTGCCCAATTTTGCCCTTCAGCCCACAGGAGCACTCTATAAACCTCCATAAGATTATCCATGCCCTTTTCTGACAGAAAAGGGCTCATTTTCACACAAAAATGGGCCGTTTTTTGCTTGTTTTGGGGGGCCCACCCCCCGGGAGCACTTTACAAGCCTCCTAAGTGCTATTCATGCCCTTTTTTAAAAAAAAAATGTACCCATTTTTGCAAAAAACTGGCTGTTTT